AAGGAGTCCGCAATCCATACAAATATGTCCAAGGGGTGCCAGGAGGATGGTGCCAGGCTCTTGCCAGTGGTGCCCAGTGACAAGGTGAGAGCAGCAGCTATAAACTAAAACACAAGTTCCACCTCAACATGAGGAAGAACACCCATGAGGGTGGCAGAACACTGGAACAGGGAAGGTGTGGAGTCTCCCTCTATGGAGACATCCCAAACACACCTGGAGACATTCCTGTGTCACCTGCTCCAGGTGACCCTGCCTTGGCAGGGGCTTGGACTGGGTGATCTCCAACGCCAACCATCCCGGGACTCAGTGAATGGCTGCCTGTGTGAGTGCACCGGGCTCTGCAGCCTGGGCACACAAGGAGGTGTGCCTGGGGATACCCAAAAAACTGGAAGGACCAGGGTTCCAGCTGTGTGAACATTACAGCGCTTAAGAAATAAATTTTTTATTACTTGAGGTGGATATGTTTGGTCTGGGAAGGGAGGAAATGCCAGTCTCTCCAGGGGGGCAGCACAAGGCGAGGACACATCCTCAATGCCGTGGTTGGAGCTGTTGATGGTATGAACACAAGACAAACCACACACACTCACCGTGTCCCTATGGGAGTCCAGGACAACCAGGTGCATCAGTGCCAGCCCTCTTTGGGGCTCTGTTTCCCTTCCAAAAGGCAACCTCGTCAACAAATGAGTGTAAAGGCCGATACTGCTTACCCATCCTGATGGCTTGTGTGATAGAAATCATGTAAAATCATCATTTATTGGCTCAGAAGTGAGCAGGAAGGCCAACACTGCTCACCCTCCTGATGGATTGTGTGGTAGAAATCATGTAAAATCAGCATTTGTTGGCTAAGAAATGAGCAGGAAGGCAGATACCACTTGCCTTCCTGATGGATTGTGTGATAGAAATCACGGAAAATCATCATTTATTGCCTTGGCTTTAGGAGCACTGAGAAGTCTCATTCAGATTTGAGACCTCGTTGTATTAATTATAAAGCCTCTAGATACTCCTATAACCCTATTCCAGATAGTATCCTCTGCAAGTCACAATGTTAAAATATTAAACAGGCAGTTTAATACTGTGCAATGCTTTAATCAGAACCCTTGGTAAATATTTCTGCAGGACTGAAATAAAAGAATTGCTGCCGGTTCTTTGTGGGCAGGGAGGAGAAAACAGCTCAGTGCCTATGTTTATTTTAAAATTACAGCAAGTTATTTACATTGTTTAACAATTTTAACACTGACTTCTGAACTAGTGGGTGGCATCCCCCAGCTGGGTTGGATTAGACACAGTAGGAAATACCTGAATTTAGTAATAGCATCTTAGGGATACTCCATGTATTTAAACCATAAATCTATTGTGTTGCTTCAACTCCTAGATATATCCCCTTCCTCTGTGTGCCATCAACACTCTGCCTGTAAAAAGTACACAGAGCAACCATAAAACCTCTAGACCACCAGTTTGGAATCAGCTGTGGAATGATTCCTGAGAAATTTGGTGGGTTTTCTTCTCACTCCCAATCTGGGGCTTGGGAAACAAAACAGGTGAGAGAGTCTCTCTAAAATCCATTGAAAAAGATACAATGGGGTTTGATAAAATACAGCTTGTTAAACTCCTTTAAAATGTCAAATGTTAGAAAGTAATATTTCAAGGGCTCTAATTTGATTAACAGTGGTCTCACAGGTGCTTTTTCTATAGTTTTTATCAAAAAACTCATAGAATCATTCATAAAGGAGACACGAGCTGTGTATTTAAGTTGTCAAAGAAACCAGCATGCAGACTTGGTGCCACAAAAAAGATTTATAGATCACTATACGGTACTTTACAATACAGAAGAGTAAACTCAATGTACAGGTTAAAAAAGCCTCTGCTGTTTGCAGCAGAGGAGTGCCCAGCTCCAGAAAGAACTTCATGTTATTTATTTCCTTCCCTGGTGTCACCCCTCAATGAGACAAATCTTGAGGAAAAAACTATGGCAGGATGAAATAAACCAAATATTCTTCTTATTGCCACCAGCTTCACATGCTACCTCCTTCATTAATAACAGATGTAAATTAACAGGGGCTGGCAAATTGGTGCAGTGGTTTAAACAGTAGCCTGGGACATGAAAGGAGTCCTTCCACGGGGGAATTGGCATCAAAGCGAGACTCTCTGATGGAGCTGCTTTGTATGAGCTCATTAAACTCATTAGCTCAGCTTGCTCTTGGTTACTTAGCTGGGTCTGGGTTCCTGTCTCTGTGTGTCTGAGCTGCGTGCGTGGCTTCCCGAGTGCTGGGTGTGGGTGTTCCCTGCAGGAACAGGGGCAGGGAGTAGGGCAGAAGCTCTAATTTGTATCCCACAGTCAGGAACCCGTCTGTAAAATCATACGATTCTTTTCAGCCCTCCATCCACCTTTCCCTTTTCCAGCAGTTCGTACAGTTTCAGACTTTTAACAGATCATGCAGGTAAGAGAAGTTTCTGTAAGGATTCCCCAGAATTCCCAGAGGTGGATTGGAAGCTGGTGTGTGACCCTTGGGCCATGAGCCTGAACAGCTTTGGTCACACAGTTTAGAGCACTGGCTGCTATTTCCATTTCTTGGCTTTCTGCTGAGTTGAGAAAACACTGCAGGGAGCCCATGAGACAAACCCAACCCACCTCACCGAACCCTTCCTCAGGACAGCGTTACTCAGCTCATGATCCCATTATTTGGGTGATGCTTTAAAGGATGTAGCTCTAAACCAGCCCTGGGGGTGACCTGACAGAGCCAGTGACCTTTCAAGAAGGGGTGAAAACAGGGTGGAAAGGAGACTAATAATGTTCCACCTGCAATTTTGTATTTTGAATTCCGGATCTCTAATGAGTAATTTGCCTATTAAACTGCTCCAGGGCATTAGATCTCGTAGCTACACAGCGTCAGCCACAAAGGGACCTGAACTGAATCTGTCCCCTTGTCCCCAAAGTCTTGAACTTGCACTTGGGAAAATGTGTGGAGAATCCAATGTAGAAAAGCCTGAAGTTAATCTGGTGCTCGACCATCTTCCCTTTGGGGAATTTTACTGTCATTCATCCTGAATCTTTGACAAACCCTCAGAAGAGATTTATTAAACTTCAGACTCAGGACTGACCACAGGAAAAGCCCGCAGGTCCTTTCATTTTGTTGCAAAACTGTGCTGCCAGTTTTGTGAGAAGCTCCTCAGCCAGTGCTGAGCTTTGTCTCCTCAGTTTCACCACAAGAACATCGTGTCTGTCCGTCCGTTCCAAAAGCCTTGCTGAACTCAAGATATGCAACATTTCCTGCTTTGTGTCTCTACAAGGCTTGTTATTCCACCACAGGGGAAAGTTAGGTTGGTTTGACATGATTTATTCTTGCAAAATCCCATTTTTTTCCATCAAAATGTGTATTTCCTTCATTTTTTATTGACGCTGTTGACTTTGCAGGGGTAGAATATACCTCCAAAAAGCCCTTTGTTTAAGTGCCTGCTGTTTCACAGGTTTCCTGCTCAATGAACACCCGAAATGGCAACAATGATATTCATTTTACAGAAATATTGTGAGGACACACTAAAGATTGGGAGGCAAAAAGGTGTAGTTAAAGATCCACTAAATCCAGATTCTGTGTGAAACAGTGATGGAGAAAGGATTAGTGTGTAAACCTCAGGAAAAATGTCAATATGGCAAATTCCGTGCAGCACATTTCCTGCATCTAAAAGCACAGCCAGACTTAGTGCTCTTACAAGATTTACAAACTTTCTGTCTTCTTTGAACTTGGTTTTGCCACATTAATTAAAATTAGTGGTTAATCCTCACCCAGTGCATAAACAAAGCTCCCATAAACTGAATCTGCAGATATGTCCCTTCTGCTGGTATGCAAAAAACAGCTGGTGCTGGTGGGAAAAAATGCAAAAGAGTCTGGCTGGCCAGATATTTTAAGAATTTGTTCCACTTTTTTATTTATTGAGATATTTTTATGAGAATCAAAAAGTGCTGTTTCCTTTTATTTTTGTTGCCTTTGATAATTTTTCATACAGTGAGCAGGGAAAATTATGGACTTGAGGAACATATAAAAATGCAATACACTAAAAATGAACCAAAAAAAAAAAAAAGGAAGGAGATAATTTTTGCATATTTTTTCCCTAGCATAGAGTGTTTTGTAGTACAAAGAAAAAGTTAAATTATTTTAAAAATAAGAATAAAACCCGTAAAGATAGGAGGAAGCAAAGAACCAGGGAGGGGACCTGTTATTTTTTCCCCAAAAAATCTATATATCCCCTCTTTTGGTAATTTGTTGTCCCCTGTAAGCCCCAATTCCATTGGTAAAGTGATTCACCTAAAGGTAGTGCACGAGCAGTTCTTATTTCCCATGATTTTTTGGAAAAGCAACTGAGAAAATGTTGAGTTGGACTCTTCAAAGCATTTATGAGATTAGTCAGTACTTTCCTTCTCTTTGACTTATCTTTCTCTGGAGTTAAGAAGGTTTTCCCATCTGCTCAGGTCTCCCACAAGCACACATTCCTCTGCTCCTTCATTTCTAACTGGGTCCACACTTTATTCCATGTCCACCAAAGCTCATCCCCTTTCTTAGCAGCTCCTCACCTTTTTCCAGTACCCCTG